TTCAGAGGTCACCCACAGATTATTTTTGAAAAATGTGAAGTCTGAAGAGTGGGGATGATGCCTTTTGTTTTTGCTGGTGCCAATCAATACTGTAAACAGGGTGGGGCTGGAGTGGTAGACTTAGAGGCAAACGGCAAGTTCCTTGAGATGGTGGTTATTATGTCTACTCACTGCTCCTAAATGCCTAGGAAAATGCTGGCCCTAAGTAGCAGTCCTCAAATACTTGCTGATTTCATTTGGAATCCACCAGTTGAGGGCTTACTCAAATTCTGTGAGTGATCCACTATAGGGCATACACATTGATAGGTGAGATACACTTGACACACTTCTCAGGACATTAAGGGCTGTGCTGACTGTGGAAAGGGAAAAGACAGAGTGGGACTCACGAGAGGTAAGAAGCAATGGGAAGCAATTTTCTCTGTGTTAAAGAGACAGGAAACTAGGGTAATGACAGGAAACTCATCCCTGGCATTCCTCCTTCTTCCATTTCTCAGTTTGGAATTGCCAGCGAGGATAAGAGGTAATGGCTAAAGAAGTGGCTTTCCAATAGGCTAGAAGAGCAGATTCTAGAAACTCAGGTTTGAAAGAAAATTTCTTAGGGGTTGTCTGGGTTTACCAGAATCCCTGACTATTGATCAGCCAAGTTTGGTTTGAATGCTTTCAGTGATGGAACCCATTCTATTGGTGTGGGTTCTCTCATTGCCAAGCTGTCTTACATTGAACTAAAAATTGGTACTGCATGCCTCTTGGTTCTGGTTCTGCCCTTTGAAGCAACCGAGAACATATCTTCAACCTTCTGAAGCAGCTGAAGAGGGGCCATACATTGTACAAGAAAGAGTGCTGGGTTAGAAATTAGAACACTTTGGTTTTGCAACTGACTAGCTGGTTTCCTGCACCCTCATTTTATTTTATTTTATGTTGCTGTAATCATATGTTCAATATTTTGTTAATATTCCCTTTGAAAGGCTGCACTAAGAATAGAATATAACCATCTTCCTATAATGTGATCAAGGTTGAGGGCCAGGACATGATTGTTTTTTTGAGATATAATACAAAGAACCAGAGGTCACAAACTCTATTGCCTTTAGAGGCAGGTAGGCAATGGAAATGCTTGAAAATGATGGGAAATTGGGTGCTGGGGTTACTGGAAATACAACAGGGAGTGGTGGAAATCTGCTACTTGAGACACATCTGATTTAAAGGCATTTGTGGTAGCCAGCCTCTGAGATGGCCCTCAATGATTCCCACCTCCTGGTATTTACCCCCTAATACAGTCCCCTCCTATGTTGTACCAGGGTTGGTCTGTGTGACCACTAGCATATGGAAGACCTCGCTTCTGAGGTTAGTTTATAAAAGACTGTAGATTCTGTCTTTTATAAAAGGTTGTAAAAGGTTATAAAAGACTGTAGCTTCTGCCTTTCCTCTCTCGAGCATGTGCTCTCTCTGTTCTCTCTGGGGGAAGCCAGCTGCATGTCATGTGGACATTCAGGCAACCTATGAAGTGGCAAGGAAATGAGGCCTGCTAGCAAATGCTCGAGTGACCTTGGAGACAGATCCTCTCCCTATTCAGCCTTGAGATGACTGTGTCTCTAGCCGAGAGCTTGACTGCAATGCAACCTCATGAGAGACTTTGGATGCTATAGACTGGATGCCCTCCAACCTCATTGAAGCTTAAATCCCCACTGTAACTGTTGAGGGTGGGAAACCCTATTGTGTTAACTGAAAGGTGGGGCCTTGAAGAAGTGATTAGATTGTAGGACCATGCCGTGAATGGATTAATAATGGTGGTTGGGGAGTGGTTTTAAGGGCTTTAAAAGGAGAGTGCATGAGGAACTATTTTTCTCTCTGCTCTGCCGTTTTCTGCCATGTGAGACTCCTGCATCACTGTCACCATCACCAAAGTCTTAAGCAAATCTGTTCTCTTGGCTTTGGACTTCCTAGCCTCTGAAACTTTAAGCAATAAATTTTGTTTTCTTTATAAAAAAACCCAGTTCTGTGTATTTTGTTATAAGCAACAGAAATGGACTAATACATTGAGCCATAACCACTTAGCTAAACTGCTGCTAGATTCCTGACTACAGAAAGTGTGAGATTGGAAGTGTGCATTGTTTTAAACCATTAGACTAGGAGTAATTTGTTGTGTAACAGTACATAATACAGCATTCAGCTTCATTTTAAAGCACCAATGTACACATGTACACACTTTGCTGCTGAAACAAAATACAGAGCACCAGTTTATAACCCCAGGTTTCTCAGTGAAACCTGGATCTATGGAAGCCAACAGGTATGGTTTGAGTTGTACTCAAAGGTCATTTGGAAGCTTAATTTTTTTTTTCCTTTTTGTCTTTTTTCGTGACCAGCAACGGATCGCAACCCTCAGTGTCATGCCCGTACCGGACCGGGACCGGCAACGGGATCGCAACCCTCGGTGTTGCTCCCACACCTCGCTCAGCCAGTGAGCGGCCGGTCTGTATGTGGGATCCGAACCCTCGGCAGGAGCACCACTGCGCTCCCAAGCGGCGCACTGTAGCAGTGCGCCACCAGGCTGGCCCCTGGAAGATTAATTTTTGCTGGAAGAGAGGAGGTGGAATCCATTTACAGGTAAAGCAGGGAGCTGTTTTTTTTTTTTTTTTTACCCACAGGAAAAAAATTTTTTTCTCTATCATTGTAGGGTGACAACAAACATTGGGGCAGAACCTGGAGAAATCTCACAGAAATCATATTCTACAATATAAAGAACACTTGGCTTAGAGTAGAAAGCCAGGGAGAAAACTCTAGTCCCATCAAAATAGAAAAGCATTTCCCCTGTAACTAAGAACTAGGAACAGGCATCTCACAAAAAGTAATGGAAGAAGCAAACTGCTATGGTCTCAATGTTTGTGTCCCCCCAAAATTCATAGTTTGAAACCGTAACCCCAAGGTGATAGTATTAAGAGCTGGGGCCCTTCGGAGGTGACTAGGCCATGAGGGCAGAGTCCTCATGAATGGGATCAGGGCCCTTACAAAAGAGATCCGAGCGATGCCTCACATCTTCCACCATGTGGAAGTGACCCTCACCAGATGTGGAATCTGCCAGCACCATGATCTTGGATTTCCAGCCTCCAGAACGGTGAGAAATTAATATTTGTTGTTTATACCCACCCAGTCCATGGCACATTTGTTATAGCAGCCCAAATGAATTAAGACAAAGCTGCTTTCAGAAATCTAGTACTCAGTCACTTGGAGACTATAACTAGAGATTGGGAAGCCCCGTTCTCACCCCTATAGTAATAAGAACCTTGGAACACAGAAGCAGATCCTAGAGGAACAAGAACAGTGTAGGGTACACAGGAGAAGACTAGGATACGTCCTTGAATGAAGGAATGGCTGACTGAATGAATGGAGAACCTGGACAATAAAGAAAAAAGACACCTGTGGACCAGAACTGAGACAAGTCCTTCAGATAATGGTTTTCTCCAACAACTCAGTGCAGAACTGAAAGTGTGTTTTAGAATCCTACTGAATACCCTTTGTAGGCTTTTACACAGATTATGCTAACAAGTTGAAAATAGAGAGAAATATGGAGTGTAAATTTCCAGAGTTTAGATCCAGTCATTAATAACAGAGATTGGGAAGCCCCGTTCTCACCCCTATAGTAATAAGAGCCTTGGAACACAGAAACAGATCCTAGAGGAACAAGAACAGTGTAGGGTACACAGGAGAAGACTAGGATACGTCTTTGAATGAAGGAATGGCTGACTGAATGAATGGAGAACCTGGACAATAAAGAAAAAAGACACCTGTGGACCAGAACTGAGACAAGTCCTTCAGATAATGGTTTTCTCCAACAACTCAGTGCAGAACTGAAAGTGTGTTTTAGAATCCTACTGAATACCCTTTGTAGGCTTTTACACAGATTATGCTAACAAGTTGAAAATAGAGAGAAATATGGAGTGTAAATTTCCAGAGTTTAGATCCAGTCATTAATAAATCCTTTTGTTCTTATCATTAAGAACAAAGATAATAAGAAAACCCTCAGGTTTTGTTACAAATGGAGCTGACAGGAATGGGTGTACTCCCCAGTCAGAATTCCAGGCCAGGAACGTGTACAATCAGGTTAAGTAGATCTCTAATAGAATACTGCTTTAACAAGAATTATTTCTGTCAACACAATGCAGAGTCATTGTCAGGCAATTTCAGAAAGTGCCAGGAAGCATCATATGGAAAATTATAATCAATTTCTGGTTGAAGTTGGGCCGTCATTATGGAACGTCAGGAAAAATCTTAAGTGCAGTGCAGTGCTTGGCATTTTATGGAAACACCAAAAACGTCAATCGGGGAGACTGAGAAGAACATGAGGAAAGAAGATGCCATTGGAAGATAAGTTTGAAAGCGGATTAGTATAAGATCAAAACCCATGTGCATAAATTAGTCAAATATGAAATGCTTATAGTTGGTGATTTATATCCCTTGGAAGAAAATATCCTGTTATGGTTACAGGAGATTGGTCGTTCAGGACAGTTGTCAAAACTATTGGCATGAAAATTCTTCCTTTCTGTTGGGATTCTTGGTGATCGTAAACTGACAGTCTCAAACAAAGGTGGTAGACTGGTGGCCTAGGACTCAGAGGTTAGAGAGAGGGAAAGGATGAAGTGGCCACCTTCAAGAGGACTTGAGGGTCTGCTCTTTTGCTATTTTCCTGGGAGACCTGTCAGTTACCATAAGTTCAAAAGGAAGGAGCCAAGGAAAACAGCTTCAGGAGCAAGGCGCCATGGGGCTGCTGAGAAGGTAGAGGGGAAGGGAACTGCACCAGTGTCCCCTGAGTGGGGTGGGGACAGGAAATGCATGTGTGACCACATGTGAGGAGTAATACAATTGAAATGCCAACTTATTTATGTTTGCCTAGTTTTTCCTTCACCTACTTTGTCCTTCTGAAATTCAAGAAGTTAGGTCTGTGTTCACTGTCTCATGGAAATGATGTGACAAAAGAAAGGAGAGAAAAAAATTCTTTTTTTCCCATAATTTAGAGAATACTTTATTAGTTTCTGTAATCAAACCCATGTAGATAAGACCTTACATATT